TGCCTCTCATACAATCAAAATAATATTACCAGCTACTTTGATTACAGGTTTGCCGAGGGTAACATTAGCAACACTACCACACCCACTAACACCACAACCCCCCAACAACACCACAACCACCACACCCACCAACAACACCACTCCTACCAACACTACCACATCAGAGATTGGTGGCCACTGGCCGAGCGGGCAGCACTCTGGGCACGTGATCCTGTGGTCCCGGGTTCGATCCCGGGCGCCAGCGAGAAACAATGGGCAGAGTTTCTTTCACCCTATGCCTCTGTTACCTAGCAGTACATAGGTACCTGAGAGTGAGTCGGCTGTCACGGGCTGCTTCCTGGGATGTGTGTGGTGTGGGGGGGAAAAAATAGTAGTAGTAGTTAGAAACAGTAGATTTACAGTTGAGAGGCGGGCCGAAAGAGCAGAGCTCAACCCCCGCAAGCACAACTAATTGATTACAGCTAGGTGAATACATCAACACCACCACTCCCTCCAACAATAACGACAACCACTACCACAGCCACGCCTACACCACCACCACATCCACCAACACCACCATTGTCATTATCTTCCAATCAAGCATCATTGCACCCGACTAATTGCAACTACAACACCCTCACCATAATGAGCTCCACACCTTCTGCTGCCACACCCATCACCATCAAAACACTAACCACCATCACCAGCCATATCACCCCCATCGTCACAACCACCACTACCAGCATCACATCCACCACCAATATCCGCAATCACCGAGCGGCTCTGGCGGATGAGGGATCAGGTGTAAATGTCTCAAAATAGACTCTGTCTTCAGGTAGGAAGAAGAGAAGGAAGTACGGAGTTGGGGCAGGTGATGCAATCTTGGAAAAGACGAACTTAAGGGGCGATGCAATCTTGCGTGGGAGGAAAGAAGGCATTGAAGTTTAGCAGCGTGAAAAATGTTAGCTTTAAATGTTGGTCGGGAGGCTGGGAGGTAGGACGGGAGACAGGAGGGGCAAGGAGGGAGAGGGGGTATTGCCGTCTGGGGAAAATGGAAAAGAAACAAGAAATCCAAAAACAGCGTATTCCTTGGACGCTTCATACACTCCCTCTGCCCCCCTCACCTCGCTCTATATTACGTTAGGAACTGGGAAATTGTTTAGGGGACTCGGTTCCTGCCCGAAGTCCAAATATAGTTGCAATTTGTGAACTCTCGAGAACGGCAGAGAGGTAGAGAAGGTTCGACGAGGAAGGGATGAGAGGGGGAGATGGTCGTTGTGAAGGTGGAAGAGGAACAGGAGAAGGAGTGGGGTTGGGAAAAGGATGGAAGGATGGGAGGGATGGGGTTTTGAAGTGGCCAGGAGTCGGCCGCTTGGAGGGGATGGGGGAGCGAGCTGGTGGTTGGGAGAATTGATGAATAGGAGAAAATCTTGGATAATGCGGTAACATGACAACACCGGGCTGTCTTCCCCGGGTAACTCGTCAAACTTTCCCCCTTCCTTATCTAGAGACTCATTCATGTGTCATCCCAAATATCCTCTTCCTCTTGTTGCCACCGTCTCTCGTTTATTCATTATGTCTTCCCTTTCCGAATACCCTTTTCGGAAAATCCAAAAAGCAAAAGAAAAATCCATGGTGTAATAGGGCATGTATGGAAGCAAAAGAACTGAACAAAAGGCGTGGAGGAACTTCCGAAATAACAGAACTCCAGAAAGCAGAGAGAGATACCAGGGAACCAGGAATCAGTATGTTAGTGTGAGAAGAGAAGCAGAGAAAGATTATGAAAATGATATAGCAAACAAAGCCAAGACCGAACCAAAGCTACTCCACAGTCACATCAGGAGGAAAACGACAGTGAAAGAACAGGTAATGAAACTAAGAATAGGCGAGGACAGGTATACAGAGAATGACAAAGAGGTGTGTGAGGAACTCAACAAGAGGTTCCATGAGGTCTTCACAATAGAACAAGGTGAGGTCACAGCGCTGGGAGAGGGGAAAGTAAACCAGGCGACCTTGGAAGGGTTCGAAATTACGAGAGATGAGGTCAAGAGACACCTGTTGGATCTGGATATGAGAAGGGCTGTTGGTCCAGACGGGATCTCACCATGGGTACTGAAAGAGTGTGCAGAGGCACTTTGCTTGCCACTCTCCATAGTGTATAGTAGTCACTAGAGACGGGAGACCTACCAGAAATATGGAAGACGGCGAATGTGGTCCCAATATACAAAAAGGGCGACAGGCCAGAGGCACTGAACTACAGGCCAGTGTCCTTGACTTGTATACCATGCAAGGTGATGGAGAAGATCGTGAGAAAAAACCTGGTAACACATCTGGAGAGAAGGGACTTCGTGACAAATCGCCAACATGGGTTCAAGGAGGGTAAATCTTGCCTTACTGGCTTAACAGAATTCCACGACCAGGTGACAAAGATTAAGCATGAAAGAGAAGGCTGGGCGGACTGCATTTTCTTGCACTGTCGGAAAGCCTTTGACACAGTACCCTATAAGAGGCTGGTATAAGCTGGAGAGACAGGCAGGAGTAACTGGTAAGGTGCTCCAGTGGGAAGGGAGTACCTAAGCAATAGGAAGCAGAGAGTTACGGTGAGAGGTGAGACTTCAGATTGGCGTGAAGTCACCAGTAGAGTCTCACAGGGCTCTGTACTCGGTCCTTTCCAGTTTTTGATATACGTAATTGATCTCCCGGAGGGTATAGACTCATTTCTCTCAATGTTTGCTGACGATGCCAAAGTTATGAGAAAGATTTAGACAGAGGAGGACTGTTTGAGGCTTCAAGAAGACCTAGACAAACTGAAGGAAAGATCGAACAAATGGTTGGTAGAGCTTAACCCAAGCAAATGTAATGTAATGAAGATGGGTGCAGGGAGCAGGAGACCAGACACAAGGTATCATTTGGGAGATGAAATTCTTCAAGAGAGACAGAAAAAAAAAGACTTGAGGGTTGATATCACGCCAGACCTGTCCCCTGCAGCCCATATCAAGAGGATAACATCAGCGGCATATGCCAGATTTGCCAACATAAGAACGGCATTTGGAAACTAATGTAAAGAATCTTTCAGAACTTTGTATACCACATATGTCAGGCCAATCCTAGAGTATGCAGCCCCAGCATGGCGTCCATATCTAGTCAAGGATACGACTAAACTGGAAAAGATTTAAAGGTTTGCCACCAGATTAGTACCCGAGCTGAAAGGTGTGAGCTACGAGGAGAGACTTCGGGAATTAAACCTCACTTCGCTGGAAGACAGAAGAGTTAGGGGGGACATGATCACCACATTCAAGATTCTCAAGGGAATTGATAGGGTAGATAAAGATAGTCTATTTAACACAAAGGGCACACGCACTAGGAGGCACAGGTGGAAACTGAGTGCCCAAATGAGCCTCAGAGATATTAGAAAGAACTTTTTCCAGTGCCAGAGTGGTTGACAAATGGAATGCATTAGGAAGTGATGTGGTGGAGGCTGACTCCATACACAGTTTCAAGTGTAGATATGATACAGCCCAGTAGGCTCAGAAACCTGTTCACCAGTTGATTGACTGTTGAGAGGCGGGACCAAAGAGCCAGAGCTCAACCCCCGTAAGCACCAATAGGTGAGCACACACACACACACACACACACACACACACACACACACACACACACACACACACACACACACACACACGAGCGAGGGAGGAAAATATAACAGAGAGGGAGATTGTTGCAGTTAATTGCTTATTGATCGAGTTTCGCGTCTTGGAGCGGCGGTCGGAGGGGAAAATAGTGATGAACGTCGGAGAGAGAGGCAGGTGGAAGAGGAGGGAGAGAAAGAAGGGAGAGGCAGGTGGAAGAGGAGGGAAAGAGAGGTGAAAGAGGTAGGTGGAAGAGGAGGGAGAGGAAGAAGGGAGAGGAAGGTGGAAGAGTAGTGAGAGGCGGAAGAAGGAAGAGACAGGTTGAAGAGGAGTCACAGGAAGAAGGGACATAAAGAAGGAGGAAGAGGACAAACATTAAGATAAGAAGATGTAGAGAAGCGTGAAGTAAGACGGAATAGAGAGTCAAAACATTTTGGAAAATGAAATAGAAAAAGATGGAAGAGAAAGTAGTCAAAGAGGGAATAGGGGAAGATACGAGAGAAAACGGTGAAAGTGGAGATAGATAGAAAGGAAGCAGAAAAGGAGGAGGATGTACAATACTGAGGAACACATGAGGGGAAGAGGAAAATAAACTGGTGGAAAGGAGAAGTCAAAGTGAGGCGAGGAAGAAGAGGTGATAGTGTGTGCTTGGTGGCGGGGCACGCACACACACACACACACACACACACACACACACACACACACACACACACACACACACACACACACACACACACACACACACTGTTGATTGACGGTTGAGAGGCGGGACCAAAGAGCCAGAGCTCAACCCCCGCAAACACAACTAGGTGAGTACAACTAGGTGAGGTAAGTACACACACACACACACACACACACACACACACACACACACACACACACACACACACACACACACACACCTGGTGTGTGTGTGTGTGTGTCTACTTGGGTGTCTGGTAGCTGACTGGACAGCGCGCAGGACTCGTAATTCTATGGCCCGGGTTCAATTCCCGGGCAGAAACAAATGGACAAAGTTTCTTTCACCCTGATGCCCCTTGTTACCTAGCAGTAAATAGGTACCTGGGAGTTAGACAGCTGTTACGGATCTCCTTCCCCGCAAGCACAACTAGGTGAATACACCCCCTTGATGTGTGTGTGTGAGTTAGAGAAAAATATATTTAGTAGATATAGTAGAGAAAAAATAGATTGATTAGAATGGCGGGGTCCAAGAGCTAATAGCTCGGTTCTTCAAACACAAATAGTAAATACACACACATGTACTTCAATGAGATAGACAAAAATAAAACAGAAAACGATCAAGGAATTCCGTCCCAGAATAGAAATTTTAAAATATATTATTGGATAATGCATGTAAAAAATATATAAATAATCTTTTGTTGCAAGCAGTACCAGAAGGAGAGTGACGCTGAGGATGTGGTAGTGTGATGGACTGGGGCGTGATGTAGTGTGATGGACTGGGGCATGATCTAGTGTGATGGACTGGGGCGTGATGTAGTGTGATGGACTGGGGCGTGATGTAGTGTGATGGACTGGGGCATGATCTAGTGTGATGGACTGGGGCGTGATGTAGTGTGATGGACTGGGGCATGATGTAGTGTGATGGACTGGGGCATGATGTAGTGTGATGGACTGGGGCATGATCTAGTGTGATGGACTGGGGCGTGATGTAGTGTGATGGACTGGGGCATGATGTAGTGTGATGGACTGGGGCATGATGTAGTGTGATGGACTGGGGCGTGATGTAGTGTGATGGACTGGGGCATGATCTAGTGTGATGGACTGGGGCATGATGTAGTGTGATGGACTGGGGCGTGATGTAGTGTGATGGACTGGGGCATGATCTAGTGTGATGGACTGGGGCGTGATCTAGTGTGATGAACTGGGGCGTGATGTAGTGTGATGAACTGGGGCGTGATCTAGTGTGATGGACTGGAGGCGAGTGCAATTGCTGGGAACAATTCCTCATTTCCGGAAAACACAGACATCATTTCCACCGATAATGCTCATTAAATCATAGTAACTGGTGTCTTAACTAAAGACTATAAACACCAAGTCCTCAGCACAGCTGAAGAATCACCGGATAATATATAGCTTTCGCGATCTGCTCCTTGCTTTGTATTCTCAAAATTATGTGGCCTTTACTAAGGATTGTTGTGTTCGCTTGGAGTGTTCCGTTTGTGGGAATTGAGAGAGAAACTGCTGTTCCTTGACCCCCAGTTACCCATCTGGGTGTCAAGGAACAGTAGTGTTTCTCAGCCGGCTTCAGCAGGCAGACTTGAGTCTGTCGAAGACCATCTGCACCTGAAGAACATATCGGAAACCACAACTGACTCAGCGGAATGTGTTGTTATTCTTGATGCATAACAATCAGCAATAGTGACTGAAGGACCAGCAATACGACCAGCACTTCTGCCCCAAGAAGTGCAAGGTAATGACAGTGGGAAAAGGATATGTGAGATCAGGAAGAATCTATTCCACTCTAGATGGAAAAGCAAATGCATGAATCGGAAAGATAAAAATGGCTGTGAATGGATGTAACTCCAGTGATGACCTCAGACCCACATATAAACATGATAACATCTGCAACATATGCCAAGCTGACAAACACTTGAACGGTCTTTTAAAAATGTAAATAATGACACTTTCAAGACAATCTTTGCATCTTCTACCAATACTGCAGTACGCCGGCCAGAGACACCACCAACACCACCACCAACACCACCACCAACACCACCACCAACAACACCACCAACACCACCACCAACACCACCACCAACACCACCACCAACAACACCAACAACACCAACAACACCAACTACACCACCACCAACAACACCAACTACGCCACCACCAACAACACCAACTATACCACCACCAACAACACCAACTACGCCACCACCAACAACACCAACTATACCACCACCAACAACACCAACTACGCCACCACCAACAACACCAACTACGCCACCACCAACAACACCAACTACGCCACCACCAACAACACCAACTATACCACCACCAACAACACCAACTACGCCACCACCAACAACACCAACTATACCACCACCAACAACACCAACTACGCCACCACCAACAACACCAACTACGCCACCACCAACAACACCAACTACGCCACCACCAACAACACCAACTACACCACCACCAACAACACCAACTACGCCACCACCAACATTAACAACATTAACAACAACAACCACACTTCAACCATTACGACGAAAGATTACTGGAATTATTCCTCACGTCATTGGAAGACAGTGTTAGGGCAAACATGATTACCACCTACAAAATTCTCATGGAAATTGACAGGGTATATAAAAGACAGATTATTCTGCACAAGGTTCTCGAACAAAGGTGGAAACTGAATAACCAAAAGAGCCACAGTCTCCATACACAGTTTCAAATACAGAAGGAGAAGAAAGGAGAAGAAACAGAAGAGACATGATCGCAACATATAAGATATTGAGGAGAATTTACAAGGTTGACAAGGACTACATCATTAAGGGAGAGAAATTAGGACAAAGGGACATAAGAAGAAGCTGGAAACGCAAATGAGTCGAAAAAATGTAAAGGACTCCTTGCACCCTATAAAAGTTATCAACAAGTGATACTCACTGAAAGAAGAGGTTGTAGAAGCTGCCTCCATCCACAACATTAAGGACAGACTCGATAAAGAATTCAAAAGTCAGAATTGTCAAGTCATAACGCCACAGGTACAACCAGACTAGAAAGAGGGATATAAAAAGCTGGAACTCCCTACCATAACCACAGAGAGGAAAGTATTGATAGGTAAGTACGAGGAGGACCTCCACCAACAGCACACCTTCACAACCAATCTCCACCCAGCCTCCGCCGCCCTGATGACACAATTACCCCAGCTGTATTTGTCATTCATGGACAAGTAACGCGGTTATTGCACATTACTGACTCTCCGCCCCGCCACCACCGTCACAACCAACCACCACCAACAACCAGCCAACCCATCACCAGCACTCTCCCCATCCCCCAAGCCTCCCGACCTAACGCTCCTACCTACCCAGCAGGCCGCCCGCTCGCCTTGTTTCTCATTCATATATTCATATGTCTTAATTCCCCTGTCACATGTTTTTTCGAGACACTTGCGGTGACGGCCTCGGGTCACAGATGCGCCACACATGTCACTCTTTGTCGCACGGCCAAGATGGGCGGAATTATTACTTCTGCCGACGTGGTTTTCCGATGATTATGTAAATAGTGTACGACACACACACACACTCTTCTGGAGGGTGCTCAGAGAATGGGAAGGGTAATGGTGGTAGTCTGGGTGGTGGTGGTAGTGGTGGTTGGTGTCTGCGTGGTGGTACTGGTGGTGTCTGGGTGGTGGTAGTGGTGGTTTGAGGGTGGTGGTAGTGGTGGTATGAGGGTGGTGGTAGTAGTGATGTCTGGGTGGTGGTAGTGGTGGTGTGAGGGTGGTGGTAGTGGTTATAGTGGTGTGAGGGTGGTGGTGTCTGGGTGGTGGTAGTGGTGGTGTCAAGGTGGTAGCAGTGTTAATCAGACATTAGAGCATCTAGAGATCCCAAACAAGACTATCAGCCTAGACAACTGGAATATGATCTACACTACTCTAATTCTATTGACTGGCTTCTGTGTGGATAGACCTCAGGATTACAAAGAAAAAAATGATAGTGTAGAAGGTAAATGAAGTAGGAAATAAGAGAATGAACATACAAAATGTGGAAGAATAAAGAGGAGGAAGAGACTGAGAACATTGAAAAACCGGAGACATTTTGGTCTAAAGCCGTCCATCTGTTGAAGCTATAAAGCTTTAAAGCTTTTGGGGATGACGAAAATCGGTAGCCTTTTTCTTCGCTCTCAACCCCCTCCAGAAACACGGCAGGACCACTCCACTCCCTCCAGAAACAAAGCAGGACCCCTCCACACCCCCTCCCTCCCTCCCTTCCTATTGCCACCTTTCAATAGGTGAGATCCGGCCTCCGACACTCAGAAACAAGACTTGTAGTATACTTCAGAACAGTTTCTGGGAGTAGTTTATTCGCTGTGACGTCAGTTGGAGGCCGCCAAGATGATAAGTTTTCTCGCTTCGCTACACCAGGCTGTCACTGGGACAGGTGGAGGTGTTCTGTCACTCAGGCTGCTGCCAACCCTGTGACAGCATAAACAAACAGGAGGAGGTCTTCAAGCATTCTGTGTGGTAGACGGTAAGATCTTCGGAATAACGAGGAGCAAACAATCTCTCTTGGCAGGATTCAATCGTAGAGATGACATCATCTGAGAGGTGTTTTCCTCAATGGATGTTGTAGAACAACAGTGGCGCATGTCCACTACGAGCTCACCATGGCCCGTGCTACTTGGAACGTTTTGTTCCCAGCAGCGGAATCTAAAACAACAACAACAGTGTTGTGATTCCACTAACGGACGCTTAGAAGACTACAGATTAGTCTTATTATTAGAAGTATTAAATTATTAGAAGATTTACAAAAAATATTAATTAAATTACTATTTTATTGTAGATTTACAAAAAAAAATTAATTAAATTACTGATTATGCTATGATCAGTGGAAATATTTTCCTCAAATGCCAATGTGGCTCGCGAAGGCTTAACTAAGTATGCAATGTGAGGCAATGCTCGAGACTCGAGACTTAAGATCCGCGGTGACTGTTACTTTCAACAACATTGTAGCAATGCGAGTACTACAATATATACGCTGCAGTGCTTACATCTTATACAATACAGTGCTTTCAGTTATATTGCAGTGCTTGTATCTTATACGATGCGATGTCTGTATCTTATACGATACAGTGACTACCTCACTGTTATCACGTCTTCATTGTAGAGTGCATCTATATATGGACGCTTAGGATACTAGGGGGAAAAAATTGCATTCAGTGTAAGTTTTTCAGAACTATGAACATTAGCCTTTAATAGGCCAGGTGTGTTGGTTAAGGTTCGCGCGCTTACACATGCTAAACGCTTGCAAATTGAACGCTTGTCACATAGTATATTCGGTCTGGAGCTATAGACACATGGATAAAAATCTGCGTCGTTATAGATAGTCGCCAATTAAGAGACGGTGATTGTAACACTATCACCAAACAATGTAATTGCTTTCAGCATTATGTCGGTATGCTTCTATGGGACTGAGGCTTCGGGTGGAGGTTGGCATGCTTCCATGGGACTGAGGCTTCGGTAAAAGGTTGGCATGCTTGCATAGGACTGAGCCTTCGGGTGAGGGTTGCATGCTTGCATAGGACTGAGCCTTCGGGTGAGGGTTGCATGCTTGCATAGGACTGAGCCTTCGGGTGAGGGCTGGCATGCTTGCATAGGACTGAGCCTTCGGGTGAGGGTTGGCATGCTTGCATTGGACTGAGCCTTCGGGTGAGGGCTTGGCATGCTTGCATAGGACTGAGCCTTCGGGTGAGGGCTGGCATGCTTGCATAGGACTGAGCCTTCGGGTGAGGGTTGGCATGCTTGCATAGGACTGAGCCTTCGGGTGAGGGTTGGCATGCTTGCATAGGACTGAGCCTTCGGGTGAGGGATGGCATGCTTGCATAGGACTGAGCCTTCGGGTGAGGGCTGGCATGCTTGCATTGGACTGAACCTTCGGGTGGAGGTTGGCTTGTTTGCATGGGACTGAGCCCTAGGGTACTGAGTTGGCCCTGAGGGAGGGTGGGAGGGAGGGATGCGCTGGTATAACATATTTAACAAACAAGTGGGCGGAAGAGCACGCCCTTTGATGATGGGGGAAGATATGGAAATGATTATAACATTTTAGAGAACAAAGGAGCCATGGATATGCAGATTAGCCTTCGCATAACACAATTATCTTTCAAGGCAAAAGAAAAAAGCAGGTTCCCCAACTTTCTACTTAATATTTATCCTGCAAATTTTCTCCGGTCTTTCTTGTGCAATCATAATCTAAGCTTTTATGTTTATGTGTTTTGTTAGTATTGAATTGATGTGTTAAAAAAAAAAAATGGCTCAGATAACGGGAGAATGTTTATGAAGGGTGATAACCCAGCCAGAGAAGAGAAGAGAAGATCTGGTAAGGAAGCTCTTAATAAAGGGAGGAGCCAGTGGGAGGAAAATAGAAGAGAGAAATATAGAAGAAAGCTAAATAGTTGAGAGAAAGGACGGATTGGGGGATTTAATGATGTGAACGAGATGTTGGATAGAGATTTGATTTGATGTTGGATGGAGTGGGGTGAATAGATGTAGCGGGGGATGGAGGAGTGGACGGAATAGGAGGAAGGGGAGCAACGAAATGGGAAAGGAGGGGGAGGAAACTGAAAAGGTAGAGGGATGGACGGAGTAGGTGGGAAGGGAAGGAGTGGGAGAGGAGGAATAAGGGGAGGGGGGGTGGAGTAGGGGAAGGAATGGAGTGGGAGGGAAGGGATAGAGGGGAGGGAAGGGATAGAGGGGAGGGAAAGGAGCGAGTAAATCTAAGAACCGCATTCTCGTTCATTTATTATTATATTTTTTAAGTCAACTTTTATTTGAAGAAAGCGAGTGACAACAAAAGCGGCCGAGGGGACAATACCACCCGCCCCGGCCCTCTGCCACCCGCCCCGGGCCCTCTGCCACCCGCCCCGGCCCTCTGCCACCCGCCCCGGGCCCTCTGCCACCCGCCCCGGGCCTTCTACCACCCGCCCCGGGCCCTCTGCCACCCGCCCCGGGCCCTCTGCCACCCGCCCCGGGCCCTCTACCACCCGCCCCGGGCTCTCTACCACCCGCCCCGGGCTCTCTACCTCCCGCTCTGGGCTCTACCACCCGCCCCGGCCCTCTGCCACCCGTCCCGGGCCCTCTGCCACCCACCCTGGCCCTCTGCCACCCGCCCTGGGCCCTCTGCCACCCGCCCCGGGCCCTCTGCCACCCGCCCCGGGCTCTACCACCCGCCCCGGGCCCTCTGCCACGCGTCCCGGGCCCTCTGCCACCCGCCCTGGCCCTCTGCCACCCGACCCTGGCCCTCTGCCACCCGCCCCGGGCCCTCTGCCACCCGCCCTGGCCCCTCTGCCACCCGCCCCGGGCCGTCTGCCACCCGCGCCGGGCCCTCTACCACCCGCCCCGGGCCCTCTACCACCCGCCACGGGCCCTCTGCCACCCGCCCCGGGCTCTACCACCCGCCCCGGGCTCTACCACCCGCCCCGGGGTCTACCACCCGCCCCGGGGTCTACCACCCGCCCCGGGCTCTACCACCCGCCCCGGGCTCTACCACCCGCTCCGGGCTCTCTACCACCCGCCCCGGGCTCTCTACCACCCGCCTCGGGCTCTCTACCACCTGCCCCGGGCTCTCTACCACCCGCCCCGGGCTCTCTACCACCCGCCCCAGGCTCTCTACCACCCGCCCCGGGCTCTTTACCACCCGCCCCGGGCTCTCTACCACCCGTCCCGGGCTCTACCACCCGCCCCGGGCTCTACCACCCGCCCCGGGCTCTACCACCCGCCTCTTCGACCGGAAAACTTGCTCCAAAGGGGAACTAGGGAGAGAGGAGTGGGGTTGGGCAGGGGAGGGAGGGTAAGGGAAGTAGGGTATGGGGAGGTAGGGTGGGTGAGTTGTAAAGGGAGGGAAGGTATTTGGGAGAGGGAGGGTGGACACAAGGAATAGAGAAGGAGGGTGGAAGAGAGAGACTAAGAAGGGATGGAGACATATGAGAGATATGGGATGAAGGGATATGAGAGACTAAAGGAAATGAGAACAGAGACGGAATGAAGGAGGGAAGAGGTGTAAGAAAGAGAGAGAAGACTGATGGGTAGGGGTGGAATAGCGGAAGAGGTGGAGAGAAAGAAATGGAGAGTGAGAAATGAAGAAATTAGTGACAAAGGGAGATCAAAGAGCAGGCAGGGAGGAGGAAGGGAGTAACAGTTCTAAGCTAAATTTCGTCGTATAAAAGCTTAAAGACGGACAGAAAATGGAAGAGAGGACGGGGGGGGGGGGAAGGGAATGGGAAGGAAGTTGACATGTTAGTCTCCGGGAAGGAATTCAGGGGAAGATTTAAAAGGAATAAAGATGGCACCAAGGAGGTGAATGTGTAGGAGGTGATTGAGGTGGTAAGAGACAGACGTGTAATATACTGTATATATTTTACAGTACTGTATATATTATACAGTACTGTATATATTATACAGTACTGTATATATTATACAGTATAATGTACTGCAGATAATATACGTCTTACTCTGTACGTCATGGTACTCAACGTACAATTTACAAGGAACAATGACAAGTAGCGACTCGCATATATCCATGTTTTCTATGCATCGGTAGGTTAGGTTAGGTGGGTTGCTTGGGTTCATACGTTTGTGCTTAGGTTAGTACCTTGTATGTTGTACGTTATGGCAAATCAAGAGAACGGGCGGCACATACATTAATATCTGTTCCAAACGTCAATGTCTGTTTAAAATGTCAATAACTGTTCAAAGCGTTATACCCGCCCACACCCAATTATACATTAGTCTAACTTACTCTTGAACTGTTCAGCGACCACATGTCCATTGTTTTATCTAGCCATAAGTAATTATCAAAGGAAGGCCGATGCTCAACCCACCAGACATCTGGGTGAGGATCCCACGTTATATTTCCTCCATGAAAACCAAACTTAGTACAGCTCTGTAGTCCTTAAATAACCCATCACAATGTTGGAATTGGAAAACATGACTTTGTAGATCGATTGGCCAATGAGGCTTGCAGGAAAGAAAACACTGATTGTGACTTTAGACTTTCTAATGCAATTATTAGAAACATACAAATTAAAGAAATTAATTCAGATTTAGAAGAACTAAGAAATCCCCAGAGACCTGAAAGCTGCAGTATTAAAAGCTATGATAAGTTTTGTTATAATAAGTTTTGTTTTTGTATGGTCAGCCATGTAAGCGGACCAGGCAATGTGATGTAATCATTGCGCGAATTCGCCTTGGCTATAGGCGATAAATTGAGCAGGAACATTAGAACCAGTCACATGTTGGCGAAAAATTTTATATTTATTTCTAGATCATATCAATAAATGAAAGCAATCAAATTAAATTACAGAAATAGGACGAATTTGCAGACTGTTCCGACAATAGATTATTCTGACTATAGACAGTCAGCAAACTGTTCAGCTTGATGACTGTTCAGTCCCTTCCAACTGCAAAATATTTTCTCAAAATTCATCATATAAACTAACATTACACTTTAACTAACATTAACTAACATTAATCTAACAATGTATTTTCATATATACAGAAAATTATTTAAGGTATAAGTTTATATATTATGAAACTAATCTGGCATATTTAAGTAAGTGTTCTTTCTTGCAGGTTTTGTGAGATAATGAAAATAAATTCTCTGAGAAAAAATAACCACCTTTTGGACCTCTGCGATAAGTATGTCAACGACGTGTCAAAAACCATTTATAATCTTACGTCTTTTCCAAATATCGTTACAAATTATAAGTTATCAGAGGTATTAACTTTGTTAACACAAGAAAATTACAGCTTTGGGCAACAAGATGTGGCTGTTTAGTCACAAAGAGAATACTTCTTTGAAGTACGTTTTTTATGTGTGTGTACTCACCTAGTTGTACTCACCTAGTTGTGTTTGCGGGGGTTGAGCTCTGGCTCTTTGGTCCCGCCTCTCAACCGTCAATCAACAGGTGTACAGATTCCTGAGCCTATCGGGCTCTGTCATATCTACACTTGAAACTGTGTATGGAGTGAGCCTCCACCACATCACCCCCTAATGCATTCCATTTGTCAACCACTCTGACACTAAAAAAGTTCCTTCTAATATCTCTGTGGCTCATTTGGGCACTCAGTTTCCACCTGTGTCCCCTTGTGCGTGTTCCCCTTGTGTTAAATAGACTGTCTTTATCTACCCTATCAATCCCCTTCAGAATCTTGAATGTGGTGATCATGTCCCTGTGTGTGTGTGTGTGTGTGTGTGTGTGTGTGTGTGTGTGTGTGTGTGTGTGTGTGTGTGTGTGTGTGTGTGTGTGTGTGTGTGTGTGTGCGTGTGTGTGTATATATGTGTTTGTGTGTACTTCCCTAGTTGTACTTGCGGGAGTTGAGCTTGGTTCTCTCATCCCGCCTCTCAACCGTCAATCTACTAATCTACATATTCTTTAGAGTTTTAGATATACTTAAACATATTCTTTTCAAATTGCAACACATATGACTCTTGAGAACTGCTAAGCGACTTTCTGGGTATATACCAATATCTTTTTAGGTATTTTGGAACACATTCCCTGTAAATATGAAGAAAAGATGAAAGAAATTTATTTTCTACGTTTCTTCAAATAAATTGTGATATTTGTTATGATAGATAGCCGTGCGTGCGTCGTTTCTGGCTCCACAACCTCCTTGATAAGAAAATTTAGCGAAAAAGTTTTATGGACAATAATGAAAGCTTAATAAATAATAATGTCGCATTACACACACACACACACACACACACACATATATATATATATATATATATATATATATATATATATATATATATATATATATATATATATATATATATATATATATATATATATATATATATGCGAACAAGCCTGAATGGTCCCCAGGACTATATGCGACTGTTGCGTTGGACCTGGGAGTATGGGTTCGAGTCACTTCTGGGGTGTGAGTTTTCAGTCATATATATATATATATATATATATATATATATATATATATATATATATATATATATATATATATATATATATATA